CCGTGGCACAGGCTCAGGGGATAGATATTGTATCCCGGCTAGCGGCCTTCCCTCTGCCCTTGCCCTGTGGTGTCTCTTTACAGAGTATCTGCTAATTCCCAGCTCAGCCACATGGAGAGCATTTGATGAAAACCCTGTGATGCAGAAGGGCAAAGGGGGCCCAGCATGGGAGAGATGATCCAGACAAAAGAGCGGCATCTTTAAAGGTGCTGTGAGATGGGATAGCGTTAGGGAGAGGAAACAACCTCAGATTGACTAGAGAAGGCAAACTATACGGCTAGGTCAAGTAAGAGCAGAGCAAAGGAAGAACATTGTCTACTGTTTGTAGCAGAGGCACTGCACTGATTTACAGTGTAATATCAGATGTGGATCCCAGCAACCAGAAAATAAGCAAAGGAAGAAGAAGCACACTCAAGGATTGAAGAAGTTTGTGGAGAACCCAGTAGGGGCTCCCCAGACCACCTCCCTCACCTTTTGGGCAAAGCACCTGTCCCACTAGCTATGACTGATAATGTTCCCTGGTGACTTCTGGCTTCAGGTTTTCCATGGTGGCCTCTGAATGTGTTTCTGGCAGTTCCACAGCAGGATAGCTGAGACACAAACATGAGACCACAAAAGTTAAAACTACATAATCACTGAAAGCCCCTTCTGCCAGGCCAGGACCTGCGAGCGAGGGCTGCGTCTTGCCTGTTCTCTGCCTTTTTACCTATGAGCCAAGAGCTAGACCCGGTCCATCTCATTTTACATCCTAGTCAGAAGGTTTCCACTCCAAAGGATCCCACAGGATCCCACTCAGCCCTTTCTTCTGGTATTACAGTGAGGTCTTGGTTTTCCTGTGCAGCCCAAGCTAAGATTTGAGGGTTACTCCCAGATTATCTTAACATGGTCAGAAGTCTTTATAATAGGATGTCTATTTTCAGAAAGAAATGGCCTAGTTATATATGTGGATAAACACTGAAGCTCAGATTAGAGCCCTTGTTTCTGTTAATAAATCATTTCTGGAAAGGAGAGAACACACTTAAAATCAAACAGTCCTGAATTAGATATGCAAAGATCTTCAGAAATCATTACTAGGACCTACCCTCCCTTCTCTGTTCACCTCTTAGCGTAAAGGTTCTGCTATTTAGAACAAAAGCTCAGGCAAATAAAGATACTTCTTTAGGTAGGCAGAAAAAAAAGTCTCCTAGTGCAATTAGCTAAATTCTTTTAAATGATTTAGACGCAAGGCCTGTGAGGCTTCTCTAAGCTTAAAATGCAACCTTACATGTTTATGATGGGACGCTGGACATTTTGTAATTTTTTGAAGGATAATATCAAATAAAACATTCCAATTAAAAAATGAGCTTTTTTTTTTCTAAAAGTGTTCTTTCTGCAAGCTGCTTCTTGCATCCTCACCTTTCACATTCTATTTCAAGTAATCCTTTACTAGATAAGCTAACTTTTCTTCTCTTTTCTTTAGAGTGGTTCGTGTTAAAGATTGCAGTTAGGGAAGCCAAAATTATATTTGTATTCTGTGCAGGTCTTAGACTGAGGATTCCCTCAGGCTTCCCAGAAATGTCAGGTGGTTTTTTTCCTCAAAGCTGAAAAGGGTGCAACAGAGTCCATCTACAAACAGCTTAGATGAGAATTCAGTGCTTCCTTCACACACTGCTTCAGATAAGCAAGGATGAAAGCAGCGGAAATATGAGGAGTTCCTTTGTATGAGTTCCAAAGTATGAGTAATTTCTGGTATATTAGAATGAAAACAAAAATATGCCTGTTTTTCATCTGTCTGGTTTGATCGTTTCTCATTTATGAAACAGAGAATGCACTCTATTAGTGCAGTTCTTTAATTTCAGCTGATTTGCAGAGGCTCAATGCTGAGGACTGAACAAGCAACAACAGATTATATTTTCTGCCAAGTATGAGTTCATAACAAAATCCACTGATGTGGTATTTAGGACATGACTCATTTCCCCAGGATCAGACAACAGAGAAAAGATGAATGATGCTTTCAACCTTCCATCACCAAAACAAAGTTCATTTTGACTGTGTGGATTTAGTGCCGTGTCTCTTCCAGTTGTGGTTTGAAAAAAGGATAAGCTTCCTATTTCTGCCAGGGACTTGCAAAATGTCTCAAGGCAGCACTTTAGTTGCAAGTCAAGGTCACCTCTTCACTCTGAGCTGCTGCACTCTTTATGTGTTACTAATCTCTTAGATCCAGGAACACAGGTACCAGGAGAGAGTAAAATACCAATGGGGGAAATCTCTGAAATAGCCTAGGATGCCAAAACATGAACTTGGACATTTTACATAGCCTTAGGATTAGATCCTTTATCATATAGATATATATATATATACATTTCTGTGTGTACATATCTATGAATATGTACACATACACATATATAAAAATGACAGTTCAGCTTTTGAACCAAGAAGTATATCTAAATAATTCATGTGTGTGATGCTACGGTGACGTGCAGAGTGGAATATGCTATATTCTCCCATTTAATGCTTTGCACCATGTGATCTTTGTGTCTTGATTTAAAGCCTTTTAAAGGGAAGACAAGTGCTTCATAAAGGAAGGGATAAAGAGGATATATTTCAAGAAAGTCATCTCTTACATTCACTCTTAAATTAAGGACAATAGCAGGACTGTTTGCTCAGACTGCTTTTGCTTGCTCCTGTTATTTGGGCCAAAGCCTGCAAACAACAGGGAACAGAAACCCCCTATCGAGTTTAAAAGGACGTTGTCTTAAGGTCCTACATGAGTCACAACCTTCGATCCAAGCTGGACACTGTCGAGACCAGAGGATCCCAGAGCTGAGAGGTGCCAGATAACTCATCTCATTTGTGCTATTTGGTGCCAGTTTTATTCCACAAAAGGCACGCGGGAGGCCCCGTGTGTTTGCTCACCCCCTTCAGCCTCAAGGAAAGGTGAGAAATACAAGATAAAGCGCAACAGGGGGCACCCGCTTTTGGCTTGGTAACTAGCCTCCAGGCACGGAGGAACTCTCTGGCTGAGTTAATGCATAGCTTTCTTTTGTGACTGCTGGGAAATGGTTGCCGACCCCCACCTGGGCTACTTTGAAGGAATTCCCCTTCCTCCGAACTTTTTTCCCCCCTACTCTATAATTTTCTCCTTGGCCAGGCTTTGCAGAGAAAGCTGCTGGGACAAGGCACCCCGTAGTGCACCGCCACTGACCCCGGCCCACGGTGAGCTGGGAATTTCAGTCACTGTACGGATGCAGATTAAAAATCATATTTTTAAGTAGTTGTGGTATTTTTGTTTTATTCTTTTTTTTTTTTTTGATAGCAGTAGCAGCTCAGAACATTCATGTAGGGTGAACTTTGAAAATGTACTCTGCTTTGACTTACTTACGAATTTTACTTGCTTCACATCGCTCGTATCAGCACAGGAAAACAGAGCAGTCCGTTTCACTTAAATTTCTTACCAATTTTATTTTTACTTCTCAAGACTTATTCAAACTTTGTAATGTTTTGTAGCTTAGAGACTATTCCTTAAAATAAATACTGAATACATGAATAATCCCATTTGATACATGATCCGCAAAGACTCACTGCCAGACAAATTGCTCACAGAGATAATTTGACAGGCAAACGTGAAATGATCACGAAGAAAAAGACACCTTAGAGCAACTGTTACAGCATCATTTCTCCACAGCAAAAATTTATAATCGCCTCACTCACATTTGTCTGCGCACCGGGCTGGTGGTTTGTATCTCTTTCACACTTTTGTTGTCTCACTTAAGAGCCGGTTAATGATGCACAGTCTAGAGGATTACTGGCGTTCCTTTGCTACATGAAGCCACCCTCAACAGCATCAGCGCGTAGCATTTTAGGGCGCTGGATTTTCGCAGCTGACGGTATACCGTATGCAGGCAAATGCACGTATCCATGCTGAATATCATTTCTCATACTACGCGAGACAGATAGGAGCGTGCCGTCTCTCTTCCTGGCAGCGCATTTTCCCTGTTAGCCGCCGCGCTTTCCTCTCTCCTTCAACCTCCATCTCTGTGAAGCTTCTGGTAAGCGGAAACCAACAAAGGCTTTTCACAATTCAACCTTTAGCTGCGCACATCAAACCGATTACCTAAACACACACAGACACGTGTTTTCTTGGCTTCAGACCCTGCTTTCCCCTGCTCCAGGTGGAGCATGGCTGGCTCGGGTAGTGGTCACCTCACCGCACTGCCGGGCCCTTTGCTGTCTCCAAATTTCCCCTTCTTCTGCCTCCCACCTCTGGCGCCCCGGGGCCGGGGGCCGGGAAAAGGCAGCCCCTTGGAGAGGAGGAAAGGCAAGGCAGCTGCGACCGGGGCAGGGAAAATAAGCCGGAGGCTGGGGAAAGGGCAAAAAAGGTAGGGGAAAAAGAAGATCTCCCAATTTCCTTCTTTGCTTTTAAACTACTTTCTAGGAAAGCCTAGTGGAAGTCAGGGCAAGGCAGCTTCCTCCTGCCCCGTGACTCCTGGCTGTAAGGAATAAACATAGAAGTAAAACAAACAAACAAACCAAAATACAACACAAAAGTTTCATTATGCAGAGCCGCACAGCCAGTTGCCTTAGAGTCTCAGATAAATACTTTACAGCTTTTTTTATACAAAACGGAATATTATGGTATAACAAAATAAATAAATATACATTAAAATGTCCTTTTTTTTTTTGTATTTTCTCAGGTGTAAAATCACAGCAGCTTTGCTTAAATCTCCCAGGTGTCATTGTAAAATGTTTATGTCACCAGCCTGCAGGTATTTACGTATTCAAAGGAGCGCCAGAGATGGGAGGTACGGTGGGAGCTTGTTTGCCCGTAACTTTGTACTTTCCACACTTGTCCTTGGTACATACAGGAAGGACCTAACAGAAGAGAATTTTTTTTTTTTAATATACAAATGTTTTAAGTGCTGGAATAGAGATCGAGGCTGTCTGCATTACCAAATGGTGCCTTGCTTCTGTTTGTGCTAGAGGATGGCAGACGAAATTTTTTCCCCTGGAAACCTCATCAGTAGGGTCCAGCTTGGACCTACAGAAATGGCCTCTGTGGAAGGAACGTAATGCATTCTCATGCCACTGCTTTTTTTCCTCCAAAGTACTCATCCAAAGTAGGGGTGCATGCATTAAGTACACTCTGTAATGAGGCTGAGGAGTCTACAGCACAAAACCAGCGTGTGATTCTCTGCTTGAAATTACGGTATCTTGCTCAGTTTTCACCTGCCTTGAATTTGCATTGTTTACTACACATCACAAGTTCATGCACGTGCTTTTTTTTTTTCATCTTGAACGCTGGAAAAAAAACCCCCTATTGTACTTTCCCAGACTCCGGAAGACACTCACTGCTGGAGTGAGTGTGAATCAGCTAATAACAGATGTCATGACGTGCTGCTGTGGGTTTTCCACATGGAAGCACGCTCCTCTTCTAAAGATTGCATTTTGCTTGAGACACTTCCTTGAAGCTGCTTCCTCAGCAAGCTGCACCCTGGCTCTGCCGTGTGTAGGTTATTTTAAAAGCTGCTGAGGAACAGCGTAGGGGTATGGCTGCTATTTGCACAATTATCATAGGTATAAATATAGTAACAGAGTGAAACTTCCTCCACAGAGTGCCTAATCATTAAGAAAGCAAATGTTTTGTGGCTGTTCCCATTGCCTGGCATGTATGACCTGCTGAAGGTCTGGCTGGTGGCTTCACTAAATAAGCTAAAGTTTCCACTTCTCAAAGCGCTGCCAACCTGCTGGAAGAGGCGGTGTGCCTCTCAGGCCTGAGCAAGGTCCACGGCTAGTTGCTTCGTCCCTCTCTCCCTGCTCAAAACCCAGCCTGAGCGAAGCAGGACCCGCTCCAGCACAGCGTGAAGCCTGATGGTGCCTGATGGGAGACAAGTCTCTGCAAGCCCATGCTCCCGGTGATGCTGTGGTGGAGCTGTGAAACAGCCCGGGGGTCCCTCAGCACCCGCACACGGAGGCAAGGACCCATGGACTTACCCAGCAGGGCCGGGCTCGGTGTCTCTCCGGATCATGCAGCTGTCTCAGGCAGTGCCAGAAGAGGAAGCCAAGGAGGAGGAGGGAAATCAGAGGAACTAACACCCCAACGGCGGTGGCAACAGCTGGTGCTATGGTTGAGTCCTGACCTGTGGGGAGAGTAGAGGGCACTCAGACAGGTTTGTGCCAGAAGCAGAAAAAAAAATTTCAGACATCCCTTAGCTAAGCCCAGAGGGTAGGAAGTCCTAATGTGGGCACTGGGAGCACATACCAGCCTGTATAGAAGAAGCCTGGCCAGCAGAACTGTGTTCGGGGGACCTGATGCCACAGTCAGACACACAGCACTCACTCACCCCCTCCAAGTTACTTAGGGCTGGCATGTTGTGTTTACGTGTCAGGCTAAATGACAGGGGAAGATGTCTGAGTTCTCAAAGAGCCCTTGGAGGCTAGGGGCACGTCATAGTGTGCTGGTCACCCGGCAGACGCCATGTGCTGCTCCGCTAACGCCTACGCCTCCGGCTGCTCCTGCTCCCTGGCACCTCCTCCTTCCTTCCTGCCACTCTTCAAGGTACCTTCAAGACTTGCCCTTCAACCCTTTGAGGTGTTTTCCCACGATCTAGTGAGGAGCACAGCACACCTACACACACTTTCATACTGACCCTGCATCAGGCTGTCCGTGGGCAGAGCCAGGGTCACGTTTAGAGATGGGTGTTGGATCATGCAGGTGACAGGGTACTCCTGGAGGACTTTGGAGTGAGTAAGGGTGAAATTGCTGATGACGGTCACGGTCTGGTTGCTGACTCTTACGTGGTACTCTCTCGGTTTCTGCTGCAGGGTGCTGGGAAGCTGCCAGGTAATTTTTGGAGCTGGTTTCCCTGTTGCTGAGCAGCTCATCTCCACCACTTTGACATTGCCCTTGGCTTTGTCTGGACTGGGTATAAGCTTAGCTTCCACTTTGGGGTCTGATATGGCTGTAAAATGCAAAGTGACAAAATATATTGCTTTCTGCTTACATTTCAGCAAGGAGTAAGAAGAAAGGACAGCCTTGGTGTCTGATCTTATTTCCTGCTCACTAAAACCCTTGAAGTGACAAATGAGCATGAAAGTCATTAGGTTTCAGTTCTGAAAATGGAGAACACACTTGGAAAAGTGGAGCACAAAGGAGTAGAAGCACGAGTGGTTCAAATCAAAACTTAACTGGAGCATCCCCGCTGAGGAGTGGTGATACTGGATAATTAAAAAGCACCCATGAAACTATGTGTCCTCTATCTGAAAGGACTGAACAGTTGCATTAAGTCAAAGTTCTTGTTCTTATCTCTTAAATTTATCTTCACGATTAGCTTTATTGCTATTTGAGATGACTTGAGCACCAAAGGACTAAATTCATCTATTTATCCAAGACACTAATAGTGAATTTGTATGTGGTTACACCACAGACTTCATCTGAGGAGGTTCTGTGCACGTGCATCTTTTTTTTCCCCTTAATGTTGATTTTTGAGGGTTTCATGCTATCCTTCAAAGCTTACTTTAAAGATCGTTTGTTCCAGAGTTCTCCTCACTCTTGAAGATTTTGGGATGCTGCCATATTTAGTCTTAATCAGCAGGTAGGATGAACTACAGGCACCATTCTTGCTTACTCACTTACATAAAGCCTGCTTGTTAATTCCTATTTATATCACTGCCGCCCGGCTGCAAGGCTGGGTAGAACATGTCAAGTGAATAAAGCACAGAGAGAGGGTAAGAGAGAGCAAGACCAACACTTTGGAGCTGAGCTGAAGCATGACAGTGGGGTTTTCTTTTGTTTCTGCCTACCTGTCTTTATATCTAACAACTGTGTTGCTCATATTTGGATTTCAGCAGGTAAATTCTCCCTCTTTGTTTTTGTTGATGTTTGTTAGCAGTAAAGATGACTGATATCATGGGCAAATGAAGCACACTGTTTTCAAGGAAGCAGAACAAAACGCAAGGATGCTGGGTAGGTACAATGCTCTTCACTGTGGGAAGTAGTTATATCAGGTGCTTGGTGCACAAGTGAAGTCTTTGGGCATTTGATGTTGCAGACTCCTTAGTGGACAACCGGACAATGGACAAAGTGTCTGAGTCTTACAATTTGCCAGTTATTAAAATATGAACGTTCCAGCAGAAAGAATACTCAGCGCAAAAGTGTGTGTTGAAACTTAACGTTAAGTGGCTGGATTTTCATGCACAGAATCACACACAGAATGGTTGAGGTTGGAAGGGACCCCTGGAGATCATCTAGTCCAACCCCTCTGCTCAAGCAGGGTCCTCTAGAGCACGTTACCCAGGACCGTGTCCAGATGGCTTTGAACACCTCCAGGGAAGGAGACTGCACAACTTCTCTGGGCAACCTGCTCCAGTGCTCAGACACTCTCACAGGAAAGAAGTTTTTCCTCGTGTTCAAACAGAGCTTCCTGCGTTTCAGTTGGTGCCTGTTGCCTCCCATGCTATTGCCGGACACCACGGAGAAGAGTCTGGCCCCATCCTCTTGACGCTCTCCCTTCAGATACTTACACCCATTGATCAGATCCCCCCTGAGCCTTCTCTTCTCCAGGCTCAACAGGCCCAGCTCTCTCAGCCTTTCCTCATAGGAGAGACGTTCCAGTCCCTTCATCATCTTTGTAGCCCTCTGCTGGACTCTCCCCAGTAGCGCCATGTCTCTCTTGCACTGGGGAGCCCAGAACTGGACCCAGTGCTCCAGGTGAGGCCTTGCTAGGGCTGAGTAGAGGGGCAGGATCACCTCCTTCAACCTGTTGGCAGTGCTCTTCCTGAGGTACCCCAGGATACTGTTGGCCTTCTTGGCCACAAGAGCACATTTTGGCTCATGCTTAACTTGTTGTCCACCAGCACTCCCAGGTCCTTCTCTGCAGAGCTGCTTTCCAGCAGGTCAACCCCCAGCCTGTACTGGTGCAAGGGGTTCTTCCTCCCTAGGTACAGGACCCTGCACTTGCCTTTGTTGAACTTCAGGAGGTTCCTCTCGGCCCAGCTCTCCAGCCTGTCCAGGTCCCTCAGAATGGCAGCGCAGCCCTCTAATGTATCAGCTACTCCTCCCAGTTTTGTGTCATCAGTAAACTTGCTGAGGAGGCTCTCTATCCCTTCACCCAAGTGACTGAATAAATTAAACAATGTTGGACCCAGTATTGGCCCCGGGGTACACTGCTAGCTAGCTACAGGCCTCTAACTAGACTCTGCGCCACTGATCACAGCCCTCTGAGCTCTGCCATCCAGACAGTTCTCAATCCACCTCACTGTCCACTCATCCAGCCCGCACTTCCTGACCTTGCCTATGAGGATGTGATGGGAGACAGTGTCAAAAGCCTTGCTGAAGTCCAGGTAGACAACATCCACTGCTCTCCCCTCCTCTACCCAGCCAGTTGTCCCATCATAGAAGGCTATCAGGTCGGTCCAGCATGATTTCCCTTTGGTGAATCCATGCTGACTACTCCTGATCACCTTCCTGTCCTCCACATGCGTAGAGATGGCCTCCAGGAGGAGCTGCTCCATCACCTTTCCAGGGACGGAGGTGAGGCTTGCTGGCCTGCAGTTTCCTAGCTCCTCCTTCTTGCCCTTTTTGAAGACTGGGGTGATGTTTGCTTTCTTCCAGTCCTCAGACACCTCTCCTGATTGCCATGACCTTTCAGAGATAATCGAGAGCGGCCTAGCCATGATGTCCACCAGCTCCCTCAGCACTTGTGGAATTTTCAGACGAGCTGAGCATCTGGCAGCTTCTGCCACTCTCAGTGGATGCTCTGCATATGTGAAAAATCACCTATTTATTCCTCAGCCATAAAAATCATGGATAAATTTAGGTTGGAAGGGACCTAGTCCAAGCTCCTGCCAAAGACAGTCCAATTAGTTCAGGTTGCTCAGGCCAAGATTTATACCGGGACATAACTCTATGTGGGAGCCTTATCCACAAGTTTTCATGGGGCAGCTCACCCAGCTTGCCTGCTACTTTGATGCAGGTGTTAATTGATGGTGTAGGGGTCCAAACTGCGCTCTACTTTTAGGTGCGTGTTTCTGAAAATATTTTTTATTTAATACTGTAAGCACAGTGGCAATTCTGATTTCATTCAACTTTGAGTTAATATGAATGCCCTAAGATTAAATAAGTATCCACTACTGTATAGAGTAGTATTATATGTAAGTATTACTATTAACAAAGCAAAACCAACAATTTGTAGTATGGTCAGCACAATTTTTATGCTGAAATTAATTATTGTCACAACACTAGCAAACATATCACTATCATTTAGCAATCCTGCTTTTAAACAAAAATACTGTGTTTTCTGTTTACTATTCTTAAGAAAAATTATTCTTTTTCCTTTTGGGCAGGTAGATGAAGATGTGCATATGGCAGAGATGTAGAAGATACAAAATGAGCCTGTTAAAGGGGAAAAAAGCATATGCCAGTTGCACAAGGGCACCCATACCTCCTTGTACAATACCATATATACCTCACAAACCTATATGGATCTTCCAAGCCATAACTGCAAGAAGGTAGAAATTATATACTAGTAGTTTGGCTTTTTTATGTCTATACCTCATTTATTTGCTATGGTTGTGCCTGCTTATAAGAATGAAGTGGCTATTTCTACAGAAACTCAACATTTCCCCACAAATAGAGTTGGTGAAAGTCATCAGTGCTGCTCTGAAAACAACAAGAAAAGTGATTAGGGGGATTTCAGCTGGAATTTCTCAAAATGTCCCATGTGTGAAAGGATAAGTGTCACAAACAGTTTATATTTTGATTAATAAATGATCTCTGAACTTCTTCTTTCACTCACGGGATGCTTAAAAATAACTCCTCCACCCACAGCATTAACTTCAAATATTAGGGCGCAACATTCAAAAATAGTAAAGGAAAACTGTCACAAACGTCTCTAGTGAGAGGGCTTTACTGAGTGTTAAAAAAACAGATTGCAGCTTAGTACCATTGCTTCAGTCTGGCAATTTCTAATCTTAACCGATTCAAATCGATTAAGGTGAGCCTTGGCTGATAAAGGCACTATCAATAATGAGAGAGAGGAGGAAAATTGCACAGGTTCATATGCCTTCCAAATTCACTCTTATTCTCACTAAGCAGTCCTCTGCCTTCCCAAATTAGGCTCTAAGGAATGACTATCACATAAAAAAATCCTAAAGGTTGATCTTCTCCTTATTATGTGCCTGTAATAGATGCACAGACAAAATCTATTATTACTTGCTTTTGCAGTAAAGGCCTGCCACACTGACTGTTAGCATGTGCCTACTGCTGATGTTCAATGCATGCTTTTGCAGAACTGCTTTGTTTGACTTACACCAAAATATTTATTTCCCATGAAAAAGTACCTGCAAGAGATCTGGTGCTCAAGTACTTGCATTAGGACAGAACAGTAATGCAAATGTTTCCAAACTTGAGCCATGATAGTGTTCCCAAGCATTTGAAAAAGTGACTTTCTAGTGAATTATGTGTCAGCTTGGATTATCTGTAATGTCCTTCTGTTATTAAAGGAGGGGCTGCGTGATGACGAGCTCTTTACATTTAAAAGACTTGACCCTGTTCTCAGAGAAAGTGATAAAAAATTTAAGAATTACAATACGCCTAGTGATTACAGAAAATCCTTTCCAATTATATGAGTGTTAGTAAACACACTCTGTGCCTCAGTTTCCCTGTTTAAGAAAGAGTAATGAGACTTCTCCACTATCCTGCAGACTTCCAGGCAGCTGGAGCTATCTACATGTAAACAGAAGGTATCCAAAGAAAACCCAGCAAATTCCTAACGAGTATTTTGACTCAGCAAGACTGGACCTTCTTCCAATGACACATCTCCTTCTCTCCAGCACCTGCCAATGAGCCATCCTTTCTGGGTTTCATTCTCATCAAGCTCCATTTGTCCTTGTTTGGCACTGAAGGGCTGCAAAATATTTCTAGGGCAAAACCGAGGGAGAAGAGCAGCAGAGAGTTCAAAAGAAATTCGCCAAGCACACATGAAAGTATTCTGTTCCACAATGGTTTTGATTACAGGGTGGAAGAAGTGCTTCTTCTTCACTTTCCTATTTCGGGTAGACAGGTCTGAAATTCCACCAGTTCATACCTGTATTTTTTCATAGCGCTATATCGAGTTCCTAGCATGGTTTCACTTCCCCTTGACCGCTATACAACTACAGTGCCTGTCCTGGAACATCCCTTTTGCGAAGGCTGCTGTAGTTGGGCAATAACCAGCCTGTAAACTCCCTATTAGTTCCCTCTCAAGGGCAAACAGATGCCATCATTTCATTTGCAGCCGGTGATGCCAAAAGCTGGCTTGCTCTAAATTACTGAGCCTTAGGAGACTGCTACTGGCTTCCCTTTCCCAGCCTGCAGGAATTCTCTGTATTTTTTAAAACAAGCTGTTCTTATTGTTATGGGTTGGGGAATGAGAGAGAGAAATTACATTTAATGAAATATGCAGTATGCAAACTATAATATTCCCTCACAGAATGGGCTCCAGTTGGGCCTGTGAAAAAAGCCGTTTGTGGTGGCCCACAGCCTCTAGGGCAACAAGGAAGAGGTTCAGAGAGTCGTGCTGCGGAGAAAGGGATGCTTACAGGACGGGGCCTCCACTACCTCCTCAAATACAATTCACACAGTTTTAAGCAATCTCCAGTCCGCTGCATTAAACCACGTCCTCAGATCAGATTTAGGAGGGATATCAATCCCGTGTTTCGTAAAGCAAACCACTGATCCTCTAGCTTCCCAAAAGATCACATCTTCTGCTAGTTCTGAATACACATATCTAAATTGCTCTTCTGAAGTGTTTGATGCGAGGAGCCAGGGGAAAGACACAGAAGGACCAATGTCATTGCAGCTGGTAAGTCCCATGGCCACTCGTTCCACCAAACATTTAGTTTGTTGACGCTAATGCTCCAGCAAGTGTTCGATAAAGCGCATTTCAGGTCAGGGATGCCACAAGGACCTGGTCCATGAGCTGGCACGCTGGCAGGTGGCCCGCGAGCCTGGGCTCAAGGAGCAGGGAAACCACCGCGGGAGCAGTGGGCTCATGCCTACCAGTTAGAGAAGTGACACACTTCTCAGTTGCTGTGTTTTCATCCGAGAAGTAGGGAGAGATGCTCACAAGTGCTTGCATATTAGCAGAAAAGCTTTTTTCAAGAGTGGAGATCCGCTAAGAGATGAATCATAGTCACAAGGCTTGTGATTTTAGGCAATTTCCCCCACTTTGGTAAACAAAGCAAAAGAAAACAAAGACATCTAAGGCTGTGCTTAGATTCACAGGATAAACAAGAAAGGGATCTGTCTGCAAAGTCCTTCTATATTTTCCTGTAATGTATAACTCAGTGTTTACCCTTTGAATGACTCAGGGCTGGGTTTTTCTTAGGAGCACTTTCCTCTTTATATCTAAAATATTAAGTGCATTTCTTCTGCTAGTTTCTCTCTTCTGATCAAGGAACTTGCCCAAGACAGGGGAAAAAGAGTTTCTGTTTCAAACTTATTTTCCACTCACATTTCCCCCCCACTTTTCCCCTATTGCTTAAGTCTTCTTTCCCCTACAAGCCAGGGTCCGGGGGTTTTCTGCACATGAGACTCCTAGCACACGACTATGTGTATGGGTTTGTGTAGGTGCATTTATCAGCAGAAAGACCTGGTACTAATGATAAATGAAATACTCTGCAGGAATCATACCACCAGCGGCAGGCCCCAGATACACTCATATTTTTCACATGGGACAACCTCTTCTCAAGCTAATCGGTGCTGATCTGCACAATACGTTTGTGTGGCAAAGCCTGCAAGCTGCACTGTATTTCAGTCTTTTTTCACATCCATTTCTTGAACCTGGTCTGTTTACTGCCGTTTTTACTATTGCTTCAGAATCAGTTTCCTGATGTGCTGGTCACCTGTATGCTGCTCTGCCTTTTGGCACATCATACTTAAGACTGAAGGTAGAGTAATAAAAAAATGCTTAATTTACATGCTTAGGAGCATGAAAGCAACAGTTAAAAGAAGAGGAGGATCATTAGGTTCATGTTTGCAGCAGGCCAGCTGTCAGTACAACACAGAGCCAGGGAAACTTTGAGGAAGTTGCGTATTAAACGTCACTTTTTGGATCTAGCTGTTGTTGACTTAAAGAGGAAGAAAATTAAAGAACTCCTAAACCCTGCTTTCCCATCAGTGGTGAAATCAGTGAGGAAGGGAGAGGCAGAGAGGAAACACAGTGATTTAGCAGCGATTTAGCAATGCAGCCAGTGGCCAGGGAAGGTTTTTTCCTGAGGGGAATGGCTTGGTCTGCAGAAAGATCTCACCCCATATGCAATTATGATGCCTTACCGTAAACCTTGAGACACATCCTGCCGGTGACAGCCCCGGAGGGAAACGTGTTGAAAATGCACTTGTAGCATCCTTCGTCTTGGAAAGTGACCCCCTGAAGGGAGATGGCCGAGGCTTGTAGCTCACTGAGGGCAAAGCTCACGTGGCTGCCATAGCTCTTCACGATCTTTTGGCCATTCACAGTACTGTAAGTTGCTATGTTGTCATCAGTCCCTTCCATTTCCTTCTGCCAGGTCACTTGCAGCGCATCTTCATTTGTGATCAACCGGCACGAAAAAGTAACGTTTCCACCTGCCTGGACTGACTGGACCTTTCTGTGCATCACCTGCACGGAGCCTGGGGGAGAAGAGGACACCACACTCAAGACTCTCCCTTCACCTTCCCATAGCGCAGCCCGTGCAGGTGTCCCCACGGCTGCTGCCTTCGATAGCTTGTAAGAACAGCTCCAGAAGGCTTCCAGGAAAAAAAAAATGCGACTTGCAAAATTCCCATGAGAATTTCACGGGGCGCAACATCTTGCACCCCACTTCACGTGAAACATTTCGCCAGCCCGTTAGCTCCTTTATTGATCACGCCACGAAGAAGGGCAGCTCTGGCACCAGCAACAACCAAGGTCTCTCTGTTAAGCCTATTTGTCCACTGGGAACGACAGAAAGCGTCCCTAAATATTCAGCCGTGCTAACTAACGTACAGCTGCCAGTGCATTACCGATTTGCGAGCTCTCCTGTGATGTGGCTGGAACCGAACTAGTGAAGCTGCTAAAAATTCTTTCCTGTGTCACTATATACCATGCACACACGTTTATCAGAGACTAAAAATAGAACAAAAAATATGAGAAACAAGCAAGCTCGGGAGGAGCAGAGGCACAACACCTCTGTTCTCCTGTCTCAAACTTGAGTCCACAGAAAGAACGGAGCCCCTTCTGAAGGCCCACAGACCAAAAACATGGTGAGAATTAGCAAAAACAAGAAGTATAATATACCTTTCATAGCATAAACACCATGGCGTTAAAAATCTCCAGAGAAAAGACAAAAAAAAAAGCCACTCTCCTCTTCTAATTCACAGACAAACATGGAAAAACTATTAAGGGGACAGATAAGGGAAACAAGTGCTACCGGATGCGACAGCTCAACTCCATGGCATTGCTGCTCTAAGAATAATGGTTTCAAAAGTTTATTCGTATATATCTGTGCATGCAGTGGCATGGGAAGGGAGACACCAGCAGGGACAGATACAACACTGAAAACATTTCACTTGATTTAGAAGGAAGCCAAGTATCTTTGCAATTTTTAAAGGTGGACGCGCTTGTCTGTAGTACACAGATTGTGCGGTTGTCCACCCAGGGCACGTCTGAAC